AATGAAAGTTATACTTTCGACAGAACCACGTGAATTGTTCGCTTTCCTAAGCTAATTCGTCGAATTCTCCACACCTGTGGTTAAGAGGTCCGTTTAGATATAGTAAGTAACTTAATGTCCGGTAAGAATTGCAGTATTCGTTTTCTTTATACTCGTTGAAACATCATGACTGCCCGAAAGTTAATTGTTCGATCGAACAAGGAATAATGAAAGCAACGTCGGCGTTAGCACGCGAAGTACAAAAATTGGGAAACGACGAGCCACGTAAAATCTACAAAACGAACGTTGCTTTCGAGGAGTTTCAATTGAAGACCCCCCCTCCCGTTCAATTGAGACTGAGATTGCTAAATGAAAAATTAGACTGCCTCCGTAATTCTTTTACAACTATGGTGCTATTGTAGGTTTACTTGGAAAGAGTGGAACTAATTAGGCGTGAATGAAAGTAGAGTCAGCTGATACACCTTCATCCCTTGAACTCACGTTTCACTACATTGAGTTTTTATTATTAGAGAGAAGAATGTTTTCTACGTATTCTAAACGAATCCCTACTCCAGCGGGATACGTGAAATTATAGCTGCAAGATTTATTCAAAGCTAAATGGCAACCTCTGCAAAGAAGGAACATTTTAAGTATTTTATTTTGTATTTGATTGTTTGTGTGTAGATACTCGAGCTTATATAGCCTTTTATAAGAATCATTCATAGAAGAATAATTGTTGCGAATAATCGAATACTCGTAAATTTTCGTAGAGAACATTATTCTATTGATGCAAGTAAATAAACACAGGACAGCGTCCAGTAGCAGAGCCTTTTGAATCATTTCTTAATAGAAACTCAGCGTGAATTTTCACCACTTTTTAGCAATTAAGTTGCATTAATTAAAAAGAATTGTAAAACGCGAAACGAAGAAACTCGCAACGGGGATGCGTTTCCTCGGGATGCACAAAGCAGCCGATACATTTTCCCACTGCCATGATATCCTTATCGCCTTCGTATTTTGTGCATACACTGCGTAATAATGACCAAATGTTGAAATGCCGAGACACACAAGTGTCATTTAGAAGACAGACGGTTTGCATTACCATGAAGGAACATAACTTTAGGACTTTAGTATTCTGCGATTTTAGTGACACGTAATGATAATGGTAAACGTTATTAGACGAGCTATGATTTAGCATTGGTAGCAATCGTAAACATATTTTTGGAGTTAGCTAATCGATACTCCAGACATTAGCGAACGAATTAACTTATTAACTTGAGTAATATTGAGACGTCGATAATAGTTGAATAATAATTCAATTTATTTTACGTCGAATATTTTATAGATATATATATATAATATAATATAATATAATATAATATATATATAATAATATCTACATTTATACACCTTTTTTAAAGATATTTAAAAGAACAACACGCACATATATATGTATGTATGTATGTATGTATGTATGAGATGAATCTAGCAACCAGACCAAGTTATATCTGTATTCTAAATAATGAAGTTAAAAATCAGTCGTGTAAAAAATCCTGTTCAACATGCTTTATCATATTTTATCGCCGATTGCTCTTTAAATAAAGTCTTCCTTTTATTTTTCTTATTTTTACATTGATTTCCCGGATGGAAGATAAGATCAGATTAATATTGATAAGTTTAAAGTAATAAAGAATAAATAAAAAAAGAAATAATCTCACGTAGTTTCTTTATTAATTAATTTTTATAACTTTTTAATATCTTCGTATTAAGCTTACTATCACTCTTATATAAAGATTTTATTCTAAAAATAAAAATCTGTGCTGTATTTTAAACTGAAAAGACTGCGTTATTCATGAAGTAATGTAATGAATATTCTAAACTTCATTTGGGATAGAAATATAATTTGGCCCAATTGTTAAAATCACCATGTATCACGTTTCGAAATTGTTCGACCGGATATGATCATTTCTTATATCAGTAAGATTATCTCTATCGATTAGATGTTCGCATATCAGTCCAGATAAGAAGCGAAAAAAAAAAAAAAAAAAAAAAAAAGAAA